ACAGGCCTAGTAGCCCTCAAGGGTACTTGATTTACTTCAAGAACTTGGGATGCTTCCCTCAGTCAGAAGCACAAGTAATGGTCTCCCTTAGACAGCCGAACCAAGGGGACCCCAAGGCATAATCTAGACCCACTCCCAATAAGTCTCCCACACTAGGTACAAAGGAGAACTTTATTGGTTACAAAGGGTAGGGTTAGAATAGGGTACAGGGTAGAGCAATATCAGAGAAATCCCATAGAGCAAACTCCCTTGGCTGGGTAGCCTTTGATCACGCATCAGAGTTACTACAAGCTATATATCTCATTAGATCTCAGGTAGCTTACTCACAAGTATCATCTAGAGGCAGGTGGAGATTCCCTCTGGAGGCAGGCAGTTCACTGATCATGAGTTTTGAGAGAGAAAGCAAGTTTCATATGGTTCAGCTCTTCTCTCTCTCTGAGCCTTTCTCATGGCTGCTGCCCACTCCTCCTAGGCAGTCCTTAACTTATATAGCCCTTGTGACCTCATTTACCTGGTCCAATGGAGGCCAGCACCTGTTGGCTGTCAGCCAACCAATTTGAAATGCATCACTAGTTGCTGGGCAGACTGGCAGTTCCTAGCTCCCCAGGGAGCTCGAGCCCCTCACCCAGGTATGTGATACCAGACACGTAGGCAGAGGGAGCAGGTTTTCCCCCTTCCTCAGCAATGTATCCAGCTCAGGTTACCTAAAGAGATAGGGTAAGGTGTGTATCCTCTGCTGGGGAGAAACAGAGGTGGCCTTCTGCCACAGCTTGTACCCTTCTTTATTCATATTCAAGTAGTTGGTAATTTAATATTGGAATCATTACCCTAGAAGCCATCTCCCCATTCCCACAGCACTTGTGCTGTTAGAGAAACATGGAAAAGGCTAGAGATGGATGGAAAACAGAGAAGGGGAATAGCTTTAGACACAAGGGCTTTTGGCCTCCACTGTAGTGGAAACAAATTTCTTAAGAGCTTTGTTAACAGGGAACCCCGAGAATGTGGGAGAAACTTTCTCCAGCAGTAGCTGGTTACCCAACAGTTTGTGTTCTGTAAATGCACATTTTAATTCTAATAATAATTAATATTAAGTTACTTAATTTTATGGCACTCAGAACCAGATCACTTGGAAGGGCCTTGAAAGTGTTTTCCTCCCTTTCCTTTTAAAATTGCCTTGTTTGTTTTTTTGGTTTTTTGTTTTTACATTAAAAGACCAGAGTCCCCTGTGGTTCAGTGCTAGAATCCTTGTTTACCACACTGGAGACCTGGGTTTAACTCCCAGACACTTATACATATACTTATGTGCGAAGCTTCGGTCACTGATTCGATTTGGCGACTGATTATCCGAATCGAATCAGGAGACCCTTTAATCTCTCTGAATCAAATCAGAACCCTCTGAATTGATTCAGAAAGATTTGATGATTTGGACATAGGCACAGTTTTAAATGTTTTTTCTACATACCTCAAGGTACCAGGTGGCTCGTGAATGCTGAGATGCTGGGGCAGATGGAGCATCCCACGGGAGTGCGCGGGGATCCCCAGTGTGTTTGGCAGTGGACCTGGAGGTGGACCAGAAGTAGTTCTGGTCCACCTCCGGGTCCACCAGGGAGCACATGGGGGACCCTCCCCCAGCTCCCTGGCTCAGCAACTGGTGCCTCCTGGGTCTGGGGGGCACCCGGGGTCTCCTTGTGGCTGATTACTGAGCCAGGGGGGATGTGGAGGGGGTACCCCGCACACTCCACAGCAGACCCAGAAGTGGATTGGAAGTACTCCATCCAGTGAATGTTCCATCCGCCCCACCATCACAGCATTTATGAGCTGCACCTGGTACCTTGAGGTATGTAGAAAAAACATTTAAAGCTCTGTCTATGTCCGAATTGTTGATTCTCCAAATCAGCATTGAATCTTCAGATTCGGATTCGGCTGAATTGAATTGGGACAGTGATCCAAACCAATGAATCCAATCGCTGTCCCTGATTCAGGCCAAATCTGAATCAAATACGGCCCATTTTGCACACCTCTACTATACAACTACAGCCCTGGAGGCATCAAACATCTGGACGCAGTCTGGTCTTCTGTCTCAGTGGCCTAAAGGGAGGCTGGAAGGTCTGGGCAGCCTCCACTCCTCCAAAAATTCCTGCATCAAAGGTCTGGGTGGCCCTCATCCATACATCATGATCCAGGAGGATTGACAGTTGCCACCAGGAAACATTAGAAGACCACGTGGCATCTATCTAATTTCTCTGAATGATTCAACAGAGGACTAGAGAATTACTGGCATTATTAAATCCCAAGGATGAACTGAAAAAAGCAGGAGGAAGTTTTAATCAGACAGAAGCAAGAGCACATAAAAATACTGGTTGAGCTGAAAGTTCTGAGAAATAACTTGGAGAAGGCCTTTCTATAGGCATAGAATATTCCACACTGCTGCCCCCTCAACTGAGGGAGCTCCCACTCCAGAAAACCCTGTAGCAGGACAAAAAGGCTAGATTTCATATTTTTTTATATTTATAAAATTTAAAACAAGCCAAGAAAGCACCTATAAAAAAACATTCTCCTTGGTTTATCCCAGAAGTTGCATGTAAATCGGTCTGAGGGATGAGCATAGCTGGAAAGAGGGTATGTTTTTATATGATTATTTTCAGCTATGCATTTCTTTTATACATGTCGATATTCCACTTGCATATAATGTTAATGACTTTGCAATGAGCATGAAGTTCAACCATTTCAGTGATGATTAACATGTTAGGAACTGCATGTCAGGCACTGAAAATAAGTTCTAGATCCTTCCGTGGGAAGTTGTAACATTAATAAAATTATACTGTGCATTGTCATAATACAGATCCTGAAGTAGGAGAGCCAATAGTGAAGAGGCTTAAGGCAGACAGGGACAATTATTAACTTTTAAACCTCTTTTCATTTTTACAGCAAGTTCATCACACTGCAATCAGACTCAGATGCCCTCTGAAGAGCAAATAACAGTGTAAGTTCAGTGTAATTATTAACATTAAGTTAACTAGCAGCTGTATTACTTGTACAGCAGATATAGACTATAAGTAAACTGTCACTTTAGATAGTTAAAAATGTTGGATAGAAGTCATTGTTCATCAGCTTCTCTTTAATTTCCTCTTGTGCTGGGAGATCAAGACTTCTCTATTATCTATAGATAGACTTGTCTATTGAATTTCATCCCTTTGAATATTTTTCCTTTGTCACAATTCCCAATTGTGTTACCTCATGGGTAAAATAAAAAGAATGAAATATAATGAACCTGATTCGCTGCTGACATATGTTATTATAAATCAAGAGGAACACCAAATTAATAATTCTGCCAATTCTAAACTGTTTTAACTAAGAAAAAAAATGGCTTGGGTGCTATTGAGGAGGAGACTTCAGGAGTTTCATATGTAATTATGAAATCAGGCATGGTCATTTAAGCCCACTGGCTTTCAAAGAAGAGTTTTTCAATAATGAAGATTTTTTTTGTACTGAGTACAGATAAGGAAAGAAACTCCTGCCAAAGAGAGAAATTTGGACTCTCAGTGTGCGTTGTAAAGAACTGGCAGAGGGTGGTGGAATTAATCTGATAAAAATGAGTCTCCTGCTTCTGGGGCTTCCATCTTGACTACTGAAAGACATCCCAGAGGCCTAGGATCTGTAACAAATACATGAATGGCTGGAGATGTGAAGGGGACATTGAGGGGGGTGGCAGCTGTGTCTTTCAGATTCACATAACTAGCCCTTTTTTGTAGGTAAGGTCACTCACCTATTGTAGTTAAACACATTACATCAGCCTTGGCTGTGACATGAACTTCCCTCCACCCACAGCAATGGACCTGCTGCTATCTAAGCTTCGTCAACAGATAGCAGAGAGGTAGTTAGCTGTATTAGTCTAAAGTCAGACAGAAGGCAGCATAGATTTGCATCTTCTGGACTAATTAAATCAGTGACACATGAGCTTTCATAAGTACCAACAGACTTCTCAGATGCTATGAAGGGGTTGGAGGAAGCAGAGCTTCTAAATAAAAAGCACTGATTAGAATACAAAGTTTAGGGAAGAAGAAGAAACTAGGGAGCACAGCTGGGAGAGGCAAAGTGGGCAGAAGAGAGAAAAACAAAGCACTCAACTCATTGAGGGACATAGGGGTTATAAAGGCTAAACCAGGTAATGGGATAAGAATCCATAGTCTTGGTTTAGGGGTGGTCAGCCTGTGGCTTGACTGTCACAAGTGGCACAGGCAGCCTCTTTGTGTGGCACATGGCAGATTAGGGAGGAAGCAGATAGTATGGTGGTAGATAGTGCAGGGACCAGAAAGCAGAGCAGTACATCAGGTGGGGAGTACAGGGCATGGAGCAGAAAGCAGAGCAGCAGATCAGCACGGGGAAGGGGTTCAGAGGAGCACTCGGAGAAGGTACAAGCTTGCCAAAAAGTTTGACCCTTACTGGTTTAGACCATCCGGTCTGTGGATGATTTCTCATTCTGCAACTTCCTATTCAAGTTAATACAGCTACAGAAATGTAGAATTCTGTAGCAAAACTTTCAGAAGCAAAAGTTAGATTTTGTCTTTATTACTAATGAGAATCAGGCTCCTTCCTGTCAAGTTACTACAGCTTAAAATACTCTTTTCTTTAAGGTTTTCTTTATATTATGTTGGTATTGGAGTAGCCGCTCTGCTGTTCAGCTACCTACAGATTTCATTCTGGGTTTTAGCTGCAACCAGGCAGACAAAAAAAATAAGAAGAATGTTCTTCCATGCAGTTCTGAGACAGGAAATCAGCTGGTTTGACATCACCACCAGTGGAGAACTTAACACACGCTTGATTGAGTAAGAAGTTTCCAATTTGTCATTGTTTAAGGCCCTGTTTTGCAAAACTTGTCAAGAAATCTTAATGATAGAGAATCATAGCATCATAAAGCAGTAGGACTGGAAGGGAACTCCTTAGTCTACCTAAAGCAGGATCATCCCTATCCAAACCATCCTATACAAATCCATAATCTAATCTCTTAGTAAAATTACTGTCAACCCTGACAACACAAGATATAACACCCTACCTTGCCACAAATAAAGCAGGGAGACCACTGTAGCCAACGTCCTGCTTCTATAAAAGGTTGTTAATATACACTGAAGAAATCCCAGAAGAGAGCCGTGCCCCCTGTTACAGAGAAAAACAAACCCCGCCACAGTATATACCACTCTGACCATGGGATAAAATTCCTTTCTGACCCAAATATGGAAACCAGTCTAACACTGAGTGGAGGGGAAAGTCCCTCTAACCAGGAACCTCTGGGTTTTAGTCCCAGTGGGAATATTGGCACACCCCAGTCAAAATCCCCAGCCTTGGCTGCAGCCAACACAAAATGTCTCTGAGGAAGACTTAAAAAACCCCCTGACACATGTAGCAGTGAGGGATGAGGGAGTGGGACTTCCTCCCAGCTCAATGCAACAACCAGCTTACAGAATTGTACTCTTAATGGATTTGTCAGCCTTCTGAGAGGGAGGTTTGGTGCTTTGTGCAGCTGGTCTTCAAGTATTTCCATAGACTGTGAAATTGTGTGCATACTCAGAGGGTACATCGACATGTGCACTTTACTGCAGAGCTCTGCAGTAAAGCATCACTGGCTATATATATGTGCATATTAGGGCCCGGTTAACTAATTAACTATGCTGTAGGATAGTACTGTCTGGGAAAGTACTCTCCTACAGTGGAGTAGTTACGTATGCTGAAACGCACATGTAATTGGTGACCGGGGCTGACTGCGGCACAAGGATGCTAAAGTATGGGAGTTGCCTGCTGGCTAGTCTTGCACTGTAGCACCCTCATGCCCTGGCCACACCCTCCGTAGCATGTTGAGCCAGGATGGAGCAGCCTCAAGCGAGTAGGCCATTCCCCCAAGCCTCCTGTCAGCCACAGTGGCTCTGCCACAGCTCAACATGCTATGCTCCCAGGTGTACATGTAAATGCTGTGCCTAGGAGCAATAAACTCCAGCACAAACTGCACCAGAGTTTCTTACTATGTGCTAATTGTATATTTAGATGCACACAGATTGTACTAGACTGTACTACTGTAATTTTGTGTAGCAGCGCCTAAGCTGGTACGTGGATATTGATCCACCTTTATGGTAAACAAGCTGCAGCTCATATCTCTAGGCCCCCTGCTCAAGTTTGTCTTCATTCTGCAGGCCAGATCCATCTAGGAGACCTGGAGCAAACTTTGACACTACTTGAGTTGCTGTAAATTTACACTGATGGCACTGAATGCTAAAATTTACAGCTCTACCAACAAGGAAATTTGAGCTGAAGCCATCTTACAAACCTTCATAGATAAAGTCACAGCTATTGTAGATAAATGGATTACATCACCCTTGACAGTGGCAGTGACATCAGCTTCTGCAAAGCACTGAAATCAGCCTGAGTTTGGCCAACAGATAGTAGCACTGAGACCTGATTCTGATCTCACTTGTACTGATTTCATCAGAGGTATTATGATTTTAAGCCAGGTATATCACACTCATAAACTGTAACTTGGTAATAAAATTAATAGATCTCTCCTGAACTTAGGCCCTTATCCTGTGAACACTTACTCATGTACTTACGTACGTGAGTAGTCCCACTGAAATGAATTGGGTTACTTGTGCCTAAAGCTACCATGTGAAATAATTTGTAGGATAAGGGGTAATGTAACTGTTCAAAACAGGAATCTTGAGGGGTATTTTAAATAAATATTGTGCCAGGAAGTAAGCAGTATTTTGAAATCATCTCAAGTCAATGTCAGCTAAAACAATTGGGTTCTTTTTCTTAGAGACATCAATAAAATCAATGATGGCATTGGAGACAAGATCGCTCAGCTGATTCAGAACATGACAACTTTTATAGTAGGCATAGTGATTGGTTTTGTGATTGGATGGAAGCTAACACTTGTGATCCTGTCTACCAGCCCTCTGGTAGTCTTATCAGCAGCATTTTGTTCTAAGGTAGGCTGGATTTTAAAAATCAGTACATTTCTTGGGGAGGGGCAATTTTATGGAAGTTGTTTTCCCATCTGCCAGTCAAACTTACATTAACCAAACATGCCTATACCTCCAGAGTACAGGCAGGCACTAGGCAGTGCTGGTGGGAGCAGCTGGGGGAGCAGCTGGATGAGCCCCAGCTTGAGCCAGCAGCCCCAGGAGAAGCCACGGCTCATCTGGCTGCTCCCCTGGCCCAGCTGCCCCTCCACCTTCCAGGGTGAGGCAGGCAGTGCTGGCAGCCCCGTGAGAAGCAGTAGGGGCTGGGGGAAATGATTGGGGAGCTGGAGAGAATAATCAAGGAGCTGGGGGAATGATTGGGAGCTCAGGAATCAAACTGGGAGCTGCAGGGAAGCCTCTGTTCATTCCCCCCCGCTCTCTGATCATTCCCCCCGGCCCCTGCAGCTTCTCCTGGGGCTGCTGGCTCAAGCTGCAGCTCGTCTGCCTGCTCCCCTAGCTGCCTCCCCGGGGGAGGAATTACTGGGGAGCTGAGGGATTGAACTAGGAGTTGGGGGATAGCCCCAGTTCATTCTTTCAGCCCCTGATCATTCCCCCCAGATCCTGGTTTGATTCTCCAGCTTCCAGTTCGATTCCCCGGGGAGACAGCTGGGGGAACAGGTGGATGAGCCACGGCTTGAGCCAGCAGCCCCAAGAGAAGCCATGGGGCCTTTGGGGAACAATTGGGGACCTGGAGGGAATGGTCAGGGGCTAGGGAGATGAACAGGGGCATCCCCACAACTTCTGGTTCAACTGGGGGGGCTTCCCCCCAGCTTCCCCCCAGCTCCCTGATAATTCCCCCAAGCCTCTGCAGCTTCTCCTGGGGCTGCCAGCACTGCCTGCCCCACCCCAGTGGAAGGGCAGCCAGGGGAGCAGCCGGATGAGCCACAGCTTCTCCCGGGGCTGCCAGCTCAAGCTGGGTCTCATCCAGTTGCTCCCCCACCTGCTCCCACTAGCACTGCCTGCCTATATAGTCTATGGCCGAAATAAGATTCAGCACTGAATATCTTCAGATTTGTATTTAGTCGAATCGAATCAGGACAGTGATTGAATTGCCAGATTGAATTGCCGAATCACTGAATCCAAATCCAAAAGGAATACTTTCTGCTTCACACAGACCTAGTTTACAGTAGCATGTAGAGGCTCCAGTGAAGTATAGGACCATTTACTGCTAGTAGCTGTACATATACAAAGTCAGTCCCTATTTGAAACAACTTACAATCTGCACCATAGTCCACCTGTACTTTCAGGTGGTGATCTACCCAAACACATGCTTTCATGAATTTATCCTTGTCTTTATACATCTGAAAATCTATCAGTAAAGTTAAGAGAAAAAAGCAATAGTGACTAAAAATTGGTCTGGATTCTGCCATATTTCTTAGACCACTTTTTTACTGCACCTTTCTGAAGACCCAGATTTCCAGGTTTTACAATAACAATCCCTTGTCACACATTATGCTTAAGGTGCATTTTATTTTGATCGTAGTAAGCATTACTATAAATTAGAACGTTTTCTGAGCAGCATCACAGTAGTGCTTACCACAATCTGAATAAAACACATCCTAAGCATCAAAACCATTGAAGATTGGTGTGGCTGGAAAGCTGGGACCAACAGTCAGCTATTTTATTCTCAGCCACCTCACTGTACCAAAGTCTCCTGATCATATTATCTCTGTGGAGCAGTTGGACATTAGTTTAACACGTGTTAGGTAATACGATCTGAAGATACTCCTCAGTGGAACAGTCCTATCTTTGCTACACTACAGTGATATTTAGCACATGCTTTACTGCTTACATACTTGGTAGCTAGCATTTTAAGTGCAGTTAAAGGGTCTCAGAACAGGAGAGACTCCCTATGCCTTGGAGTCTCACTTGGAGACTCAGAACAGACCTTGAAATAACACCCCTACACTTTTCCCATTTCTGGGGCACCATGGTTGATGGTTAAGGCATCCTGCAGGGTGAGTCTGAGCCTTATTCTGGACTCTCATTGAAGCACAACCCCAGGCAATCCAGCTTTAAATGTGCTCCTGATTATTCAGGCTGGGGAAATCTCTCTCTTGGAGGCCATTGGCTATAAAAACTAGTGTGCCTTAACCACATTAGCTCCATGAATATCCTAAGCTGGCATAGACCTTAGACCAGGCTTGTCCAACATATGGCCTGCGGGCTGCCATGCGGCCCTCCAAGCTGTTTTCTGAGGCCCGAGGTGCTGCGACGGGAAACAAAAGTAAACACTGTACTTTCGTTTCAGGGGGGGTAATGTGATACCGCTTCATGTGAGGTGTTTGAATATGGATCACCAGCCCACTGGGTGATAAAAAGTTCAGATCTGGCCCCACATTCAAAAAGATTGGACACCCCTGCCTTAGACTCATCAAGTCTAGGTTGGATTCAGTAGGCTGTTAGCTATGGAGAGACACCTGATCCATATGCTTCCATAGCGGCACAACATTTTAATTGCTCCCTGAAAACCCAGTTCAGATAAATATCACACATATAGTACTTACTACTGTTAGAAGTCCTATGTGGCCGTCTTGCAAACCTGAGACTTTGAGGTAGTACTGAACAGTGACCCATAGATCAAAAAATCACTGTGTACCTGGTAGTTCTGTGCTCACAGAAATATAATGAGGTACAAAGCTACTCTAGATTTGGTTCTGAAGTTTACTTCTTTCTGCTTCTGTTGATTGTAGATGATCATCACATTAACCAGTAAGGAGCTAACAGCCTATTCCAAAGCAGGTGCAATAGCAGAAGAAGTCCTATCATCAGTGCGAACTGTTGTAGCCTTTGGAGGACAAGAGAAGGAAATAAAAAGGTGTGACTCCTTTAAGTAATAGCTTTTTAATGGAGCACTTAAGACCACAGTGTCTTAAATGTCATTATTTCTTTTCTGTAGGTATACAAGTAGGCTGGGAGAAGCAAAAAACATTGGTATAAAAAAGGCAATTGCTTCTAAGTTGTCCCTGGGTTTTGTGTACCTAATTATAAATGGATGTTATGGGCTTGCTTTTTGGTATGGAACTACCCTGATCCTTGAAGATAATTCTGAATATACCATTGGGTCTGTTCTTGCAGTAAGTAATGTATTTTGACATAAGCACCTTTCTAAAACTAACTTCATTACAAGGTTGTGTTGTGTGTATAGCATATTGGCTATAGCAGGGAGAATGGTAACCGTAGGCATGGAGAACCTATGCATTCTGAGGAGCTGTGTTCTTTCCCTGATTTCCTGCGGAATTGGTTTGGGTTCCCTAAAACCTAAGCTTGAAAAAAATGAAATGCCTTGATTCTGTGAAATTGTGTGCAAGATATTAGATATTGTGGTTAGAAGAAAACCTTCAATATCTTTGCAAAAATTCAATTATGAAGCTCTACCACTCATCTGAATCAGTGATGCAGTAAAATATAGATAACCTAAATCCACCTTGTGTTGTATTTAGGTACACATAGCTGAAATTATTAATATTCTTATGGTAGTGTTGGAGTGATGTTGTAGCTGTGGAGGGTCAGAAAACATGAAGCATGGATTTTTGTGGGTGATATCACAAAAATCCTTGCATCCTTACATAGTATGCTTATGTAATTCAGCAAAGCAAATCATGAGGCAAATTTAAATTGTAATTTGAATTTGTATAGTAATTCATCTCAATCATATTTGTACTTATGTTTGCTTTCTATGAACATTCAAACAGTGTAAGTTTTACTAGCAAAATCTTGCATGAAAATCAAATATTAAATATATATTTAAATATATTTAACATTTAAATATGAGTATATATTAAATATTAAAATAACTTTCTAGAGAGATTGTAAGAGTTAAATTCACCATTCAGAGAGCTGATAGAGTAGTATATGACTTCACTGATTGCATAAATCAACAATAAATGAAATTGGTGGAAAATTTCATCAGATAGTTTTAAATAACTAATAAATCAGAGGGAGTCGTAATCTGCTGCTGGACATTCCTCAGACAGAAGACGAGATGGCATCTGTCAAATAGATTATATATCACACATTATTAGTTTCACTGTTATCCTATTGAATTTATAATTTAGTGTTACTAGATATGTACATATCACATCTTGTTTCCATTAATTTTCACTATAGCCAATAGAATAAAGCTGAAAGTTTTGAATCTCTAGGCCTTTTTATTGCTTGGATAATTGAAGCTCTACTTATTATTTGCCACAAAACATGGAGTAATAATCTTCACAATGTAGTCAGCTAAAAAAATATATTGTACTTTCACAAAGCACAGGATTTTGTGAGTTTTCTATGAAACAAACACCCCTGACACACATTACACTTAAAATGTGATTATTTGGTTAATCACATCTTAACTAGTGACCTAGCCACGCATTCATTCAATTAATGGCATAATATAACTAGGAGTAAGTGAAAAAATTATTACACAAAATATGTGTAATATCTTTGTTACTGGTTCCTACCACACCTTTAATTGAATATGTGGCCAGTGCTCACAGTCTCTGGAGCACACTCCCGAATGCTCCAGAATCTGGGAGCCCTGATCAGCTGACAGAGCTCCTAGCCACTGAAGCACGGGGTGACCTCCTTGCCCCTCCCCACACCCTGAGGCTGAGAGCACCAATCACTAACAGACCTCCCATCCCTGCACTGCTATGGCTGGGAGCCCCTTTAGTGATTGGAGGTCTCAGCCACCAGGGGCACCATGTGCTCCCACACCTGGGAGCTCCATCAGCTCACTGGACTTCTTCAGCTCTGATCAGCTGACAGGGCTCCCAGCCACAAGAATGAAGACTGCCGGTGCAGTAGGATCACAGTCCTGAGCTCCCCCTGCATTGGTAATGTGACATGATGAATCGGATGTTCAGTACCTCAATTGCTACTCCTACCATGCACATGTAGCATGGCAGGAAGTGCAGTTGTTGGGATTGGGCATCAGATCCCATCACGCTTCTAATTGTACATCTCCCAGGGGCTTAGCAGCAATAGAGGCTAACTGTAATAAGGAATGAATCTCATGTTATATTTGGTGTTAACAACAGAGCCCAATAGAATGGAAAACAAATGTGATCTGTTTCCCCTATGTCTCACCTCTAGAAATTGTATATAAATTAAATTAAATCTAAGCCTTAGAATACCAGTACAATACCTTACAAGCCACAGCTATAGAAATGGAGAAGGTTGTTCTATATGTATATGTATAAATTGAACAACCCTGTCAATTTCTATAGCTGTGGCTTATAAGGTAGTATGCTGGTATTCTAAGGATTAGATTTAATTCTTTTTATACTTTAGTAATGCCCTGAGTCATCCACATGTACTTGGCCCAATTCTGCTGACTTCATTCTGGCAAAGCATCTATGAATATGAACAGGGGAGCAGCCTGAATAGGGACTGTAGGACCTGCCTTTTAAATGTTGGTCTCTTTTACTTTCAGTAGTATTTTTATCTTTCTTCTTGTTTAGGTTTTCTTCTGTGTAACTTACAGCAGTTATTGCATTGGCTTAGCATCACCTCACTTTGAAACCTTTGCTATTGCTAGAGGAGCAGCCTTTAAAGTTTTCAAGATCATTGATGAGGTATGAATTCTGTTTTCACAACTGGGCTATAATCTTGTGTATTGTCACTGATGATGTCCATAGAAATATAAGGGAGGGATAAGCAAAAAAAAAAGTCTCTATTAAAACCAAGTCAATTTCTATTAAAATTAAAGGAGAAGAAAAGGAGTGTTTGTCAGATAGAAAACAACACAAATCGGTTTAGAATTGAATATGGTATTCAGTCTTTTAGAATAGAATTATAAGCAATAGAGATTATTATGAAAGGTAATTATACCAGCCAGCCTCAGAGCACAAATTATAAACATACTTTATATTTCTGTGTCCATTTTAGTATTTTTTGCTCATTTTGTTTTGTTTCTGAACTGTAGAGTGAATATATTTCCTGCAAAGGATGTCTCCATGTATAGCTCTGTATTTTAAAAACTTTGCCTAAACTTTCATTTTTTCCCTTTGTTAGAATCCTTCTATAGACAGTTTTTCTTCAGATGGACACAAACTCAGTCACATAAAAGGGACATTGGAATTTGACAATGTCCGGTTCAGTTATCCTTCAAGACCAGATATCCAGGTAATAGAAACATCTCCTCTGTATTATGCTGCAGTCATTGTGACAAACCTGCATGTCATTTGTGTAATGTGATGAAACCATTTTCTTAAAGGTGGGGAAGGAACATGAGATTGGGGACAGGAAGTTAACCCAAGTTCTTTGTGTAAGGAAAAGATATAAAAGTAAAACTGCTGGGGAATGTACAAAGGGAGCACTCAGAAAACTGTTTGAGGCAGGTTAGGAAAAGAGTGCCTAGCCCAAAAGGAACAAGAACAAAGTAATTGGAAGGATCATATTTGTAAAGTCCTGAAAGTGTGAACAAGGATTATGAGGCAAAAATGAGTCAATGGAGGATCTTCAAGAGGGCCAGAATCATAATATTGAAGACTAAATGACTTTTCTCAGAAGAATACTGGAAAAAGTAGAGTGAAAGAGGAGTGCTGGGAAGGACAGGTCTGAGGTCTTCCAGTGTCTGAAGCATGAGACAATAAGGGTCTGAATCTGCAGATGGAATGGCTGAGTTTTGAAAAACCGGCAAAGATAAAACTAGTGCAATTAAAAGACAGGCTCTTTTATTGAATGCAGTGCTGTTCTGTGTTCATTTTATTTTAATCAATTTCCTCAAGATTTTGAAAGGCCTCAGTCTGAAAATTGGTGCTGGACAAACAGTGGCATTGGTTGGGAGCAGTGGATGTGGGAAGAGCACAACAGTTCAGTTGCTGCAGAGGTTTTATGATCCACAAGAGGGAGTGGTGAGTACACCCATTTTAAAACATTACACAGGAAACACCAAGTACATTCATTGACAAGTAAATCTTAGCAGAATAGATGAACGCAGTCTTCCTGGTATTGCACCAGTAAAGAAGGTATAATACACAAGATTTCAGGATTATTGGCTAATGTTCCTTTTAGATCGAAGAATTAGAAGCCTTGTTTTTATACAGTGATTTATCTGAATCTTACAAACCCACATGCACGGGTTTACTTTGAAGCTGCATAAATCCAGTGGATTGTATTAGATGATCCTTGTGTTCCCTGCCAATTTCCATAATTCTATGGCTATCACAGTTATTTAAAGAGCAGGCTGCTTCATCTCTGAAAAGGACCCTTGTTTTTTACATGAGAATTTGCTGCAGATGTTGGAGTTTACTATAAAAATCCCTGACAACATACATTTCTTCGATGTCTTGCACTTGTGCATCCTACTTCTTGTGGGAGCCTTTTTCTGGATTTACAATTCAAGGCAATGGGTGAGTCTACACAAGACATTTACAGCAGAGCTGACTAATTAGCTCCACAGTATATGTCTCAGTGTCTACACATGTGCCCCTGTTAGGGCACAGGAAACTAAACACCACAGCCAGCAGGGTAGTACTTGTAAATACAGATATACTAGCCTGATGCAGCTTTTTCATGCGCTGCAGAACACATGTAGTTGCTGACCTGGCTGGCTGGGGCATGAGGGTACTTCAGTGTGGGGGGCTGCCTACTGGCTAGCACCTTCATGTCCTAGCCAGCCCCTCCACAGCACATTGAACCTGGTTAGAACTACCCCAGGCTGGCAGGCTGACCCCCAGGGCTTCCTGCCAGCTGGGGCTGCTTCAGCTGGGCTCCACGTGCTGCACATGAATAAACGCTGGAGCTGATTAGGGTTGGAAGGGACTGCAGAAGGTCATGTAGTCCAAGCCCCTGCTCAAAGCAGGACCATCCCCAACTGGATCTTGAAGCCGGGTCTTGAAAACCTTCAAGGATGGAGATTCTACCACTTCTCTGGGTAACCTGTTCCAGTGTTTTACTACCCTCCCTAGTGAAAAAAGTCTGCCTAATACGTAACCTCAACTTCCCTTGCTGCAACTTGAGACCATTGCTCCTTGTTCTGTCATCTGCCACTGCTGAGAAATCTAGCTCCATCCTGTTTTGAACCACCCTTCAGGTAGTTGAAGGCTACTATTAAGTCCCCTCTGCCTCCTTGTCTCTAGACTAAATAAGCCCAGTTCCCTCAGTTTTTCCTCATAAGTCATGTCCCCCAGCCCCCTCACCATTTTTGTTTCCCTCCACTGGACTGTCTCTCTCCAATATCCCCACATCCTTTCTGTAGTGGGGGAAGGGGGGAGGGAGGGCAAAACTGAACATAGTACTCCAGATGCAGCCTCACCAACACTGAATAGAGGGCACACTGCTGGCTTATATTCAGCTTATTGTCCACTGTAACCCCCAGGTCCTTTTCTGCAGAGCTGCTGCCCAGCCAGTCACCCCCAAGCTGCACTGGTGCATGGGATTATTCTGCCCTAATTGCAGGACTTTGCACTTGTCCTTGTTCAACCTCATGAGATTTCTTTTGACCCAATCCTCCAATTTGCTAGGTCACTCTAAATCCTAATCCCTACCCTCCAGCATATCTACTACTCCTCTCCAGATTGGTGTCATCTTCAGACTTGCTGGGGATGCACTCTATGCCATCTTCCAGGTCATTGATGAAGACACTGAATAAAACTGGCACAGGACCAACCCCTGAGGCACCACACTTGATACAGCTGCCAACTAGACATTGAGCCATTGATTACTACCTTCTGAGCTCCAGCCAGTTTTCTATCCACCTTCCAGTCCATTCATCCAGCTTGTACTTCTTTAGCTTGCCTGTGAGACTGTTGTGGGAGCCCATATTAAAAGCCTTGCTAAAATCAAGGTACACCACATCCACAAGTCTCCCCGCATCCACAGAGCCAGTCTCTTTGTCATAGAAGGCAATCTGGTTGGCCAGGCATGACTTGCCCTTGTTGAATCCATGCTGACTGTTCCTAATCACCTTTTCCGCCTCCAAGTGCTTAGAAATAGATTCCTTGAGGATCTGCTCCACAATTTTTCCAGGGACTGAGATGAGGCTGACTGGTTGGTAGTTCCCTGGATCTTCCTTTTTCCCTTTCTTAAAGATGAGCACTATGTTTGCCCTTTTCAAATCATCCCAGACCTCGCCTGTTCACCATGAGTTTTCAAAGATTATGGCCAATGGCTCTACAATCAAATCAGCCAACTCCCTCAACACCCTCAGTTGCATCTCATCCAGCCCCATGGACTTGTTCATGTCCAGCTTTTTTAAGTGGTTCCTAACCTGCTCTTTCAACACTGTTGGCTGCTCACCTCCTCCACAAACTGCTGCATGGTGCAGTAGTCTGGGAGCTGACCTTGCCTGTGAAGACAGAGGAGAAAAAGGCATTGGGAACTTCAGCCTATTCTGCATCCTCTGTCACTAGGTTGCCTCCCCCATTCACTAAGGGACCCACACTTTCCCTGATTCTCCTCTTGCTGCCAACATACTTGTAGAAACCCTTGTTACCTTCACATCCCTTGCTAGCTGGGACTTCAATTGCACTTTGGTCTTGCTGGTTTCATCCCTGAATGCCCAAGCACTGCTCTTATACTCTTCCCTAGTTATTTGTCCACAGTTCCATTTCTTATAAGCTTCCATTTTGTGATTTAGTTTACTGAAAAGTTCCCTGCAAAGCTAAGCTGGTCTTCTGCCATACTTGCTAATCTTCCTGCACATCAGGATGGTTTGTTCCTACACACTCAGTAAGGCTTCTGTAAAGTATGTCCAGCTCTCCTGTACTCCTCTCCCCATGAGACTGGCTTCCCAGTCAATCCTGCCCATGAGTTCCCTGGGCAAATTCAAGTCTGCTTTTCTGAAGTCCAGGGTCCTTACCATCCTTCCTTTCCTTAGGATCCTGAACTCAATTATCTTGTGGTCACTGGTGCCCAAATTGCCATCCACTACTACTTTCCCCACCAATTCCTCCCATTTTGTGACTGCTTCAGCTGCTTCCAACTGTTAAAAGCATGAACAATATATTTCTAGCCAACACCATGTATAGTAGAATTTAGACTGAGCACCCATTCCTTCGTCTACTTAGCTTTCACCCTACTGTGGAAGTAGAGTACAGCTGAGGCAAACCATTATTTAACATATAGAAACATTTGGCAAAGGAACATTTCTTTGCTGAAATCAAAATAAACCATTATTGTTGTCACTGGACTTGAATCTGCCCTGAGAAGATACAGATTTTGCCTTAAATGTTTGTGTATATATTTCATCCTTGAATCTTTATGAACATTCTCATAGATGGTGGTGTTTCTTTTTTTTAGATCAAAATAGATGGACATGATATCAGATCTCTTAATCTGAGACACTTCCGAGAATGCATTGGTGTGGTCAGTCAGGAGCCAGTTTTATTTGGGACAACTATTAGAAACAATATAAGGTATGGGCGAGAAGATGTAACTGATCAAGAAATTGAGAAGGCAACAAAGGAAGCTAATGCATATGATTTTATAATGGATCTTCCTGAAGTAAGTACTATTCAAACAGTAACCTGCTTTCTTTTAAATGAACTGAAATATAGTGAGGTGTTGAAATATAGCCATAGATGAAATAATTTTTTTTTTTATGTCTGTTGGAGCTGTGCGAGACAGAGAGCATGTATGGAAAATGCAGCACAATGCTAAAGAACACGTCACCTTAGCTAATAGAGTTTACTCTCAAGCAGATATTTAGGGAAGCAGAAATAAATGGGAAGGCTCAAGAAGCAGGGACAGGTTTCTGTTATGGATGGAGTTAACTGAGAAACCAAAAGCTAGAAACATGCATGGTTTGAATACAAATGGATCTTAACAGTAAGAACATCTGTTTTATTTTTTTTCTTAAACCACAGTCCCAAATAAGAGACAGGTGTCCATCTGCAAAATGGCAAAATACAGGTGATGGACACTCAGGAATAGCTGATAAATGTAAGCAGGAAAACATTGATTTTTACAGCCACCTTGTGGCTACAAGTGAAAATTGCAGCGTCTTTCAGAATTTGTGTTTTGAATGACTGAAGGGATAGATAGTCCAAGCAGACCTAAGAGCATAAAAGCCCCAGTTCAATAAGGTATTCAAGCAATGAGAGACTTCGAGCTCCAGAGTATCCCTACCATTCTGAATAGAGGTGCTTACAGTGATGCAGGAGCTTAAGTTTCTTTTGTTGAATCCATGCAGCAAATCTGTCATGTTTTGTGACAGGCCATGTGGCTTAGAAAAGGAGATCCATTAAACCACATCAGACCTTCCAAAATTCCTTGTGCTACATTGGGTCACTGCTCTGGCTTTTATTACTTCATCTAAAAATATTAGAGACCATCTGCTTCTGAGTATAATATTCTTTTTCTCTAGAAAATAGTTATACAGTGAGTTTGTATAGTTTTTCTTCAAATCATATTTCTATACTGCTGCTTGTGGATTTAGCAATGTAATAATAGCTCATATTTTGCTAGACATAGATTTATTTAGTGTCTTTTGGATCTCCCTATAGGCTTGATCAGTCAACTTTTAAATTGAGTTGAAGAGGGTCTTTCTGTCAACTTATAGAATGGACTTTAGATTTGATTGTATTAGCAATTAACTGTTTATACTGGAAAATTAATAGTTTTGCTAATGTTGCTCTAGAAATTTAATACCCTTGTGGGAGAAAGAGGAGCACAAATGAGTGGAGGCCAGAAACAGAGAATAGCTATCGCTCGAGCTTTGGTGCGCAACCCTAAGATTCTCCTTTTAGATGAGGCCACATCTGCCCTGGATACTGAAAGTGAGGCAGTCGTCCAAGCTGCACTGGAAAAGGTGACTCCTATTTTTGACACAACCTTCTATTTCTGTTTTCTTATATCATATATTTACTTCAAATGTGTGAGAGAGATAAATTAACATAATTATTACTGTTTTCTCCTACAAAAGTTGAACAGTGAGACGTAAACACTTGACCTATCACAAATGATTTTTAATTCTTAAAACTTTTAGAATTGGCATCATCTTGACCATATCTTTGAAATTAACTTTAAATATGAAATATCTTAATTGAAGGAATAAGCACAAAATACAAAATGCAGTAAAACCTTAACATTTTACATGTGGAAGTATTGATACCTGGTAGTTAATGTTTCATAGAGATGTGCAACAGCAAAGAAGTTTCTAATCTTGTTGAACTCTACTGACAGCTATCCCCTCCAAAAATAACTTGGCCAAGACCCTAACCTTTGATAAGATTATGTGACACTCCAGCAGTAAAGAAATCTCAGGGAAACAGCAGAAGGCAAGGAAACACCTGGTGAAGAAAGATAACATTGTTGATTTCATGCCATCTTAACTTCTACCTATTGGGGCCGAGACAATGCACACATTGCTTTCTGTGTCCTCTGCCACACAGCTAATCCCTCTAAGAACTCTGCACCCATGCAACTTAGAGCAGCTCAGGGCTGTAGGCTTTAATTTTAAGCGGAAGAAAAGCAGAGATGTACAAATAAAGCAAAAGCAGAAAAGTGAGCTTTCTGACTGACTTGATGTGGATGACAGCAAGCAAGTTATGACTATAGCCCAGCACAGAAGGACCAGGAAATGCATCAAGGTTTCAGTTGAGTCAGTTGTGCAAAATTCATGGATTGTCAGGATGTTTAGCAAATGAAATCAATAAGATGTAACAACAGTATCAATACTACAAATTAGAGTAAATTACAATAAATCATGAAGCCCCAGGGGACGTGAATTACAATTTGATATTTTGTTTACAGGCCAGCAGAGGTCGAACCACAATTGTTATAGCTCACCGGCTTTCCACCATTCAGACAGCAGATGTAATCATGACCATAGTGGATGGCACTGTGGCTGAAAAAGGAACACATGCAGAGCTGATGGAGAAAAAGGGGCTATATTATTCACTTGCAACAGCCCAGGTACACTTAATATTTATTTATGTGTTACCATAACATGCAGGAATTTCAGTCATGCACCAGGACACCACTGTATACAATTTTAGACCCTAAAGTTAGAAACAAGAACATAACTGTGTTTGATTTTAACCACCCAGGTACTTTATGAATGTGTGAAAGTTTGAGTTCAGGATTTTTTTTGTATGTGGTCTATCAACTTTGTTTATCTGTGAAGATCTAAAATATTTTTTTAAGATACTATACATGCTTTCAGTTCAGGTTACTCTGCCCAAAAGTTGAAAGCACGATGTTAACTAAAACCAAACTACTCCCTATGCAAAAAAAAAAGATAGAAAGAAAAAGCCTTCAAAGGGGTTCATTGTATAGGAACATGAGCCCTACCCAAAGAAGTTAGGAGACTCTGTCCTCCCACACCTACCGACATCCCAGAATTGACTGGAAATCAGATCCCAGACACACGATCTAGCTTCCTTGTGGTACAGCTCCTTAGGGTTTGGCTGGCAGCTGCTATTGGGAATCTCAGCTAAAGCACAGAGGGAGGTTTTCACAACCCAAAGGAAAGGCAATAGTCTACTTTGTAACTTAATTCCTAAATGTATTGTTAGATCTACTTGACAAGCAAAATGCCTGTCAGGACCAGATGCCCATAACTTTGCAGGCAGCCATGTGCTAGAACAGATTAAACATTAAACAAATTTTAAAGAGAAAGGAGGACATATCCTAGTTCATCTGAGTCTCTCTGTTCTGTCTGCCCACACCTGTCCTTACCTAGGTGGAAGCTTAAACTAGGACTGGATACCTCTGAATGAAGCGAGGTTAATTTACCACAGATTCATGTCACTTAGTGCAGGATATGATGGAACATAGTAAATGGTTACAGCTGACACTTGCTCACAAGCAGCAACACCCCTTTTAAAACAGCATTATTGTTAATCTGTCTTATGCCCTTATAGTCAGAACATAGAAGTGTCTAAACACTGGAAATCTTGCATTTCTTGCACTTTTGGTTTAGCACCACTGCAAACCCATCCGTGAACTGGTCAGACTGAGAGTGTGCTATGGACAACGAAATGTGGGGCATAGAATTTTTTCCACCATGTCATCTAACTGGGTTAGAATAGAGGATGGTCAACACTAATTCCACTACTATTGATAGCCCAACAGTCAAATAAAAGTGCTGGTAGTACACTAGAGAGACTTTCATTATTGACTCCAAGATGAACATGGGCCGACAATGCGAGGTCACGGTTGGCAGGGCTAACTGGACCTTGTCGTGCATCCATAGGTGCATCTCAAGCAGGTCCAAGGAGGTGATCTTCCCCCTCTGCGTGACACTGGTCAGGCCACAGCTGGAGTACTGTGTCCAGTTCTGTGTACCGCACTTCAAAGGGGGCAGGAGAGCATATAAGCCTCCATGGCTCACTAAAAACATCCGGGAATGTCTCCTTGCCAAAAAGGAGGCTTACTCCCAATGGAAAGGAGGGGTCATCACTAAGGAGGACTATTCAGCAGTTGCTCGGGGATGTAGGGGGATGGTTAGGAAGGCCAAGGCAGAGATGGAACAGGGGCTGGCTTCCCGGATTAAGGACAACAAGAAGTCCTTTTTTAAGTACATAGGGAGAAGAAAGAAGGCCCCAGGAAATGTGGGGCCCTTGCAGGACAAGACGGGGAATCTGGTTGTCACGCCAGA